CACAATGTCTTTGTCTGCTATAAATGAATATCTGCAAAACTCCAGCTTTTGGTCAAATGTTACAATCCATGGAAATGTTTGGACCACTTACCAGATATCCTTGTCTATAATTAAGCTTAAAGTAAGAGAAGCTCTGCTGACCTCCTGAAGCTGAGCCGATTAGGAAAAGAAACAGGCTGGTTGCAGTCAAACAGAAAGCAGGCTCACCAGATATTACACTGCTGCCTGAAGGCGTTCAACATTTCAACTGGAAGCGTATAGTGCAAACAATCTGGCTATACGGGTACACTTTAGAAGTAGCTACCCGCAGAAAGGCTACGTGTGTCCTCGCGTTAGAAACCGGAGAGCGTGATTTCGTTACCTCTCTTTCTTCTGGATCCACAGCGCAGACGCTATATCCCACACTGTGCTGTGCTGGGGCTAACTTTTGGTTTGCTCGTCCTCTCTTCGCACATAAACCGCTCCCTCTCAGGTGGGACGTGGTCTCCGCCTGGGAGCCATTAAGACAAATGTGGAAAAACGAGCCCGGAGCTTTCAGCTGGAACAATGAAGAGCCACACTCGGCCAACAGTATCTGGCTGAGAAACCGCCAGTAGGTCAGTCCGACAGCGCCACCACAAGGAGGTTTGGAGAATCAAAGGGAGTCGGAATACAACTCAGTAGCTTTCCATAAATACTGTAGTATTTCCATTTTGTGCTACTTAGTCCTTGGTACATTTCCTCAAATGTTGTAGTATTTCCATTTTGTAATAGATTGTGGTTAAAATCTTGATAGCTTGTGACCCTTTACAATAAAACTTCTCAAGCCAACGAGGTTGGGAGTCACTTGTTTGATCTTTTAAACTGACATCAGAAATCAAGTAGCCTAAATGGGAAACACTTCATTAGCTGCATTCCACCAAGCAGGGGTGGAATTAAGGATTATTTCATCATCAATTACTCGTATTTTCATGGCTGATTACACTGGTCAACAAAAAACAACAAAACATTTCTGGCATGGAAAATTCTAGATGTTCTAGACTAATTTTGGGGTGCTGAATGCAAATCAGATATGCTTTATCACATCACATTTTTGCACAATCAGTATAGCCCATTTTCATGTAATTTACCAGTAATATTAACTTTTCACTATTCATCATTGCAGGTTGTTATTAATTATGCTAAATTGATATGACTTTTTAATTACTGTTTATTCTCAGGGATATGCAGAGATATTTTCTGATGACATCTGCCATCTCCGTTTTTCCTTTACATCAGACAAAGAAAATATCAGACAGTTTAAGACTGGCATACACTGGGGGAGCTTAGTGTTGCTGAATGTTGTTTGGCAGTGATGCTTTTGCGCATAGAGGTTTTTAGCCAGACATCTTCTCTTTGTTGGTTTTCAAATCGTTGTCATTTGTTCTTTTTGAGAGTAATTGAGTGACTGGAGAATACATATTAACTTGTCCATTATAGTCAATGATTGCAATTGTTTTCCTTTCTTTCATTTTGTAGATCACGAATAACAAACAGTTTAGAGTGAAGGCAGCTATGGCTACAACATCCCAAAGAAGAAAATGTTGTAATGACCCAGATATATTTTGCTATATCTGTGGGAACTTCACTTTGAAGGACCAAAGGCGCCACATAAATACCTTTGTCAAGAAGGCGTACCTGGAGACCAGGACAAAATATGACAAAACATCATTAATGATCCTCTTGTTCAGAGAAAAAAGATTGTCCTACCTCCACTGCACATAAAACCTGGTTTGATGAAACAATTTGTTAAAGCCCTGCATCACAATGGAGACTGCTTCCGCCACATATGTTCAACCTTTCCAAGTCTGAGTGACGAGAAGAAAAAGGCAGGAATATTTGATGGACCTCAGATAAGAACACTCCTCAGAGATGCCCACTCTGTGACAACAATGAACACGAAAGCTTGGAATGCTTTCTCTGATGTGTTAAAGAATTTCCTTGGGAACAGGAAAGCTGACAACTACCAAGAGATTGTGGAGGAACTGCTCTTGAGTTTTCAATCACTTGGATGTAAAATGAGTATCCCGTTGCACTACTTAGATTGTCACTTGAGTGAGTTTCCAGAGAACCTGGGTGATGTTAGTGAATAACAAGGTGAATGCTTTCATCAAGACATTAAAGTAATGGAAGAACATTACCAAGGCAGATGGGACTCCAATATGATGGCTGATTACTGTTGGAGCTTGAGGGATGTGCCAAACACTGAGGATCATAGAATGTCAAAGAAGAGGAAGTTAATGCAGCTGTAGCTCGATCTAAACTAATAAACTTATTGTATCTTTCTATGTCTATTTCTTTCACTATGAGCATGAAATTACCATTTTTCGCAAATACAGAATATCTTATATCTTGGAAACCTGATGTGTTGGACAAAAGCTGGTGGCATGTTTGGATTCAGCACCACAGAATTAACTAAAATTCATTTGAAAACCTTGTCCAAGAAAAATTGTTTACCAGTGTTATTGGCTTTGTCTATAAACTGTCAGAAAATAGTGAAGCTGCCTGCTAGGATTTCCCAAAGCCTTGACCAACAGCCCAAAGTCCCAAAATATTTACCTTACAATCAAATATGACAAAAATAAGCATGGAATTGTTACATTTCAGAAGCTTTAAGTATCAAACTTTTAGATTTTTTTCTTAACTGATGATCAAAGCAATTAATCTGTTTTTGCAATTAAAAAATTGTTGCCAACTAATCGTTGGGGCATTCCTACTAAAAGAGAAGCAATGGCCCGTACGGGGATCGAACCCGCGACCTTGGCGTTATTAGCACCACGCTCTAACCAACTGAGCTAACCGGCCATGTGGCTTAGTTTGACAGATTTGATAAAAAAGTAAGGTGATTGCTAATGTTCAATAGTGTTGTTTGGTGGTTCAAGTGAACGTGTTCAGCTAACGTTATCTAGCAAACTAAGTAACTGACCCGGAGCTTCCCCTAAAAGTTACCTACGGTCCTAATTTAAGTTGATGATATTATACCAAAAAACAAACAAACAAATCCATTTTGTTATTATAATAGCTATACAACCCAAGATAATTATATTATACCCTATAACAAACTTCACAAGTCTTTACGTCTTTTCTCGCCATGTAGTTAGTCAGCAAGGTGCGTTGCCATAGTTACCCATGAGAGAGGGCGAGCTTTACTCACGTGATCCAGCAAGATGGCGACCACAATGTAGAATGGATGTGAATGTGAGTAGTACATATTATTAGCTAACCGTAAATTAATGAACCACTGAATTATTTCATATTGTTGTGAGGTGTTGTCGGAACACTTTTATTGTATTGAAAAGCAAATGCTTTCTTTCCAGTGTAATGTAAAAAAGCACATCAGACAGTTCCGTCTGATCCAGTCTGCCAACTCTAGTAATGCTGACCGAATACGCTAACGTTAACCTAGCTTTCTTATAATCTGAGCTGGATCATTTATTGTTTATCGTTACTCAGCTGTTTCCTCTTCAAACACGTTAACTTCCACAGTCTGTGGTTGGTTGCTTTCACCTTATTCTTCTTTGCCTGTTTTCTTTCAGGATTTCAACTAAGTGGATCCGTTTTGCGGGAAATTTGGATCTGCTGGTTAATCAGTCATCATATGAGAACCAAGATGGCTCTAAATGTCTTTGGTAAGCAGCGTCACACCTCAGACGATGGCCATTGTGCTCATAGCTGTAATTAATGGTGTGTGTGTGTGTGTGTGTGCATTTTGTTTGTAGCTGGTTCACTGTCTAGTCTGTTTACTAATGCTGTTGGAGGCAACCATCACTTATTATGATCGTGTCTCTTACTGTATTAAATAAGAATTGATAGAGAATAGTAGAAATCTCGTAAAGCCTGTAGCCGTTTCTGTTTATTCAAGTACTGAACTTAGCCACAATTTTGAATTTATATGCTTGCTACATGTATTTTAATGTGAAATCTTAACTTTAAAATAATGTAACTAAATATAGTTGTCTCATTTGGTACTAAGTCTGGCATCAGTTTTCCTTTCCTATTGAGCAGTTCTAAGCAATTCAGCTGCATCTTTTTTTTGTACAATTTGCAATGTAGTAAAAGTCACATACACACAAAATTGAATACTTAAGTACAATACCAGCATAATACATATGTGCACACAGTACTGGAGTGACAGTGCTAGATTGTATTTCTTGCCACCTCTGTTGCAGATACTGTGACTGTCAATGGTTGACATGTCTGCTTTTGTTTAAGTGTGTCTATCTGTGAGGGTATTTTGCCTTGAGAGAGAGGGTGAGACACTTACCCAGGGAGGATTTGGAGTTATTTTGAAGACAGGATACTGGGACTGCAAGTGTTGAATAGATAAGAATAGCAAAGTGAACACAGAGTTCACCAAGACAGGAAACAGGCTGTTCATTTAACCCATGCAGAGAAGTTGAAAGACTTGAAAGACAGCATAGTCCTGAATGTACAAAGCCAAAGGATAGTCTTAAAATGTATTACAATCTTCATCACATGTGTATTAACCAATCCGGCTTTTGTCACTTGTATACAACAGGACTTGTAATTTGTCATCATATCAGTGTTAAATTTGATGCTTTTAAAATAAATATTGCACTGCAGCAGTGCTTTGAATTATTTTCATCACACTAGTGAGCCACTATGAATGACTTAATAAATGTATTTAGCACTGAATATAAAGGGTTTCAGAGTAAACACAGTGTGGGTTTTGAATGGAAAAGTTCAGTAGCTCCTGCAGGGTTCAGCCACACTCCAACTGAGTGCTTGGGGGTAACATTGTTTTGGTTTGAGTCCCAGTATTAATGTGAGTGTTGTTTATTGTCTGCTATGGCTGGAAATACTGCTATAACAGTGATATTCATCTACAATTAATTTAAAACAGATAGGCCCAAGGGGTGACAGCAAAAGAGAAACATTGCACAGAGAGCTCATTTACAAGCCATTCTTTCTGCAAAGGAATAAAAATGAATCTGTCACAGCTTTTGGTGCTGCACAGAGTACATTTATTTATAAAGTCACTTAGTCACCATTTATGCTCCATGCAGTTTTTGTTGTAGGAAAAACTTCATCTATCAGTCCAATATCCCAATATAACTGCACTCAAACTTCTTCTTCTTCTTCTTTCAGCTGTTCCCGTTAGGGGTCGCCACAGCGAATCATCTGTTTCCACCTAACTATCCTTGGCATCCTCTACTCTCGCCCAAATTAACTTCATGTCCTCTTTTAGCACATCCATATATCTCCTCTTTGGCCTTCCTCTTGACCTCTTGCCTGGCAGCTCCATCTCCAACATCCTTCTACCAATATAACCACTGTCCCTCCTTTGCACATCTCTGACCTTGTCCCTAAAACAGCCGACCTGAGCTGTCCCTCTGATGTGCTCATTCCCAATCCTGTCTATCCTGGTCCCTCCTAAAGAGAACCTCAACATCCTCATTTCTGCTACCTCCATCTCTGCCTCTTGTCTTTTCCTCACTGCTACAGTCTCTAACCCATACAGCATAGCTGGTCTCACTACTGTCTTGTACACCTTTCCTTTGATTCTTGCTGACACTCTTCTGTCACACAACACTCCTGACACCTTTCTCCACCCACTCCAACCTGCCTGCACTTGCCTCTTCACCTCTTTCCCACACTCCCTGTCGCACTGGACTGTTGACCCCAAATACTTAAACTCCTGCATCTTCTTGACCTCAGCCCCCTGTAACCTCACTGTTCCACTTCCGACCCTCTTGTTCATACAACTTGTATTCTGTTTTACCACGACTGACTTTTTACTCTGACTTAGTATTAATTTTAGAGGAGACTGCCTTTGGTCTTGTGTATGATAAACATAAAAACATTAAGTACAGGTTACATACACATCGAGCGGTGAGGGGCATTCCATCCTTGTCTTTCTCATCAGGGTCCAGCATGCCCAGCTGGACAGCCAGCTCTCTCTTATCATCAGCGATTATGGGAAAGGGCAAAGTGTGGCCAGCCTCATTGTTTACTGCCATCACGTCCTACACAGAGGGAAAGGACAAGAGTTCAGCCTCTACACATGTATGACACTACTCTTAAGTTAATAAGTCTCACCATCCCTGCAGCACATATATGATGGTGGCCAGATAACCCCAGCCCCCAATCTTTAAATCTTGCATGAGCCATAAAATAGTTATGAGCACTGGTCCATGCACTGTGACTGTAGTGCCAACTCTGCTGCCTCACAGATAAAAAGAGAAAGAAAAAAAAAAAAATTCTGGAAGGCAGAGAGAGAACATTTGGCTCAAAGAGCATGTAATGTTCTACTTTCTTGGCAGGGAGGCAGGCGGTGTTACTGCAACAACAAATCCACCTGAGGGATACCGGTCCAATCAACTTAACTCTGTTCCCTCTAGGACCAATCACTGGCCTCCGTGAGGAGGCGTTGTTGTAATGTGACAACCCGGTTAAAAATCTGTCTGGCGCAACTCAACTCAACTCCTCATCACCTTTGTTCCCCTCACCAACATGCCCGTTGAAGTCTGCACCAATCACCACTCTCTCCCCTCTAGGAATACTCTCCATCACCTCCACTCCGGAATCTCTCCATCTCTTCTAACTCACACCCTACTTGTGGAGCATAACCACTGACTACATTCAACATTACCCCTTCAATTTCCAACGTCAAACTGATCACCCTGTCTGACACTCTTTTCACCTCTAAAACATTCCTCACCAGCTCCTCCTTCAGGATCACTCCTACCCCATTTCTCTTCCTGTCCACACCATAATAAAACAGTTTGTATCCCCCTCCAATGCTACGCGCTTTGCTACCATTCCACCTGGTCTCCTGCACACACAGTATATCTATCTTCCTTCTCTCCATCATGTCCGCCAGCTCTCTACCTTTCCCTGTCATTGTGCCAACGTTGAGAGTCCCTATTTTCAGACCTATACTCCTGCCTTTCCTCTTCTCTCTCGGTCTACGAATCCTTCTACCTCCTCTCCTCATAACTGCACTCAAATTAAAGATAATAAATTAGTTTAAAGCCTTGACTTCATACCTCTTGTTGTCAGTGGCATAACCTACTTTGTAGATACTGAGCTGTTTATTTAGCTTTTTTTATTTGGCAGTAACTTCAAATTTGCCTGTAGCGGTTTCAGTGTTGAGTCATTCCTCTTGGAAACTCTGAATCTGCATTGCTGAGCAATCGTGATTGCTCCAAATTCCTAGTTTTCTTATAAAGTCACAAGCATTAAACCAGCAAAATAATTCTGTTTGTGCAATAAGCTCCCCTGACTTGTCAAATAAAACCTTTCGATTATTAAATGAATTTAAAATAAGAAAGAAGGTGAATTGGGACGATCCTGATTTAATCTGCTTGATGGATTCTACCAAATTTGTGACAGAGCATGCAGATAAAATCATGAATATCATGTTTTCTCCACTTGAGGTCACTGTGGCAAAGAGAATTAACTTGCAGAAGCAGACATTTCATCAGTTGTTGTACTTTTTCTGTCCTCAGATCATGATGAATACAGGCCACCGGTGTGGAAGTCCTACTGTAAGTGTCAATAGTACATTATCCCCTCAGGTTTTCTGGGGGCATTATTACTTTGATGCTTTTCCGTTGGTGTGACTGTTTAGATTGTCCTGATCATACCCATTTGAAATGTATTTTACTGTGGCTTTCCTTAAAATATTTTCTGATGAGAGGTGTTCCGCTCTACTTTGTCTTGACTGTTCCTTCGAGCGACATGCTTTTTGCATCTGATGGTCTTCATGTTTTCTGCCACAGTGTACCAGCTCCAGCAGGAGGCACCCCACCCACGCAGAGTCACCTGCACCCGTGAGGTAACACAATGCCTAATTGTCAGCCAGCCAGTGTTTCATCAGTCTATGAAGCCTTGTGTTGTTCCTGAAAGTTTGGATCTCTTTGATATTGCTGTGGAGTAGCATATCCATTTTAATAGATAATTAGTGGTAAATCTTAATGGTACAGCTCCTCAAAAATGTCATTCCTCTTGGAAACTCTGAATTGGCAGGATAGAGGTTTTATAAGTTTAAGGAGGTGCCTCAGATTACCTTTATGTCACTCTTGTGGGTTACATTTTAAAGATTATAAGCCACCCACTCTGCTCTACCAGTTAAAATATTTCCAAGGATCCACTACAGTCAGTACCATGCAGTATTCTTTTTGCCAAAAATGTGATTACAGCTAATATCATGATACTGAATGGGATGTTTTGCCTCAAAATACCATTATTTCACTTTTCTGGGTTATATTGGAAATATTATAAATCATCCAGTACCTTTGTACCAGTTTGAATACCTCTAAACTGCTAGAATAACCAGTAAATTGCCATTTTCTTCTTGCTGAAACATGATTACAGCTGATACATTATTACTGAAAGGGTCTCCTGCCTCAGATTACCTTTATTTTCCCTTTGTGGGTTATATTTTTAAGATTACTAGCATTGTACAAGTACCATACTTTAACAAGTATAAATGCTCTGCATGGGTAAAAAAAACCTTTAAAATATAACCCATAAAAATGAAATGGAGGTATTTTAGCTACAGTTCCATAATGCATAAAAATATATGTAGGATGTAATAGAAACAGATAATTGAACACAGATGCAGCCTGTCAGAGTTTTTATACATTTTTAAATGATCATGGTATGGGTAAAGCATCAAACAAGCTGAAAATGTCATAGTGTTTGTGTGTTAATGTGTGTCTGCCTCCTTGGAGCTTGCATTCGATGACTCAGCTTTGTGCAAGGCTGGTTGTCTTGTGCTGTAGTTCAGTCCATTGTCTTCAGGGAAGGGTTCTGATAAGATATCTACCATCGTGATCTGTTGTTGATGTCCACTAAATGCCGTGTACCAGCATGGCTGCCCATAGGAGAGGCCACCGTCAGATGTGTGTGGCTGGAATGTTTAGGGGAATCCATGAGGGATTAAAAATGCAGGGCAGTACTGTGACAGGGCATTTGTGTGTGTCTTCATCTGTAACTAGAGAAATGCATTTCCTGTCAAAAATGCATGTGGATGCTGATATGCTGAAGGATCACCCTTAAAAAGCCTGAAATCAATTGCTGAAACAGCTGAAGGATGAGAAGAAATGGCTGAAGTTCTTTGTTGAAATAGCTGAAGGATGAGATGCAATGCTGAACAATTGTGAAAGTTGAAAGAAAGAGGAAAAGAAAAAGTTCAATAATTACTTTATGTAAGATGAAATCAAAAGCTGAAGTTGAGTGTCAGCTGGCCTCACAAAGTAGGGAAAACAAACACACACGTGTGTGTGTGTGTGTGTGTGTGTGTGTGTGTGTGTGCGCAGTCCCCATGCAGTAACAAAAACAAGTAGGGGTGTGTGTGTCTGTTG